AACTGCCCGTCGATCGACGCGTATGCAGGATAACCAATCCAGTACGAGCGTAGGCACGCTTTTCCTTTGGCAAGATTGCCCGAAAAAAGGTGGTTTCCAGACACCAAAAAACTCATACGGTGCACGCGCCTGGGCACAGTCGCCAGGACAAATTATTTTTGATATTGTCACGGCTGTGTCGTCCACTCTCCGCCATTCGCAGTGGGTTGGCGACCCCTCGGATGTGTATCTCTTTAGCTACGACGCGACCCGAGTCATGTGTCGGGGGCAGAAGCGGAGAGACGAAGACGAAGAATATCCGCTTTGCGACGTGGAACGTCCGAACGCTTGTCAATGCTGACGGCTCTGTCGAGACTGCCGCTCGTCGGGGGCGCGTGAGCGAGGATAGAAAGATAAATTTAGTAGTCCGCGAGGCCGAGCGCTTGGGTCTGGAGGCAATTGGACTGCAGGAGACGAAATGGTTCGGCGCTGCGTCGTACTCTGTTGGTGATGCGTTGGTTATATCGTCGGGTCGACCTCTGCCGACTGAGAATTTCACTCGTGGAGAAGGAGTCGCCGTCTTGTTGAGGCGGCGTGCCAGAGCGGCGTTTGAGCGCGGAGGCTCGCAGCAGAGTGCTGTCTCGTCCAGACTTATGACATGTAAGTTGAAGTTTCCTCTGTGTACTGGCACCCAGCGGCAGTGCCCTGCTGAGAGAGCCTCTGTGTGGGTACATCTGGTTGTTTGTTATGCACCCACGTTCCGGGCCAGTCGATCAGTGAAGGACGCATTCTATACAGATTTGCAGCAGACTGTCATGGCTGTTCCTCTCTCAGATCATTTGATCGTCCTTGGGGACTTCAATGCACGTGTGGGTTCTGCTGTTGAGCCTCAGTCTTCTGGTTTGTGGCGGGATGTCCATGGAGGCTTTGGCATTGGTGAGCGCAATGATGCTGGGATGGAGTTGTTGGATTTCTCGTTACGCAATAACCTGACCATCTGCAACACCCATTTCCGGAAGAGGATGATACATCTGGCTACGTGGCGGCACCCGAGATCCCAACGTTGGCATTGTATTGATTATGTACTTGTCCGTGTAAGTCAGATGCAGTATGTTGTGGATACCCATGTGATTCGCGGTGCAGAGTGCAGTACTGACCACAATCTCTTGTGTATGACGTATTGCCTGCCAGGGAGGATTGTGCCCGGCCGAAATCAGAATCAAAAGCGCAGGAACCGGCGGTTTGCGGTTCAGGAGCTGCTGACTGTGCCAGGTATGACTGACGAGAGGCGGGAGTTAGTCGAGTGCACCCGAGCGGAGTATGGCCACTGTTTGTCTGGTGGCTTGGAGAACTTTGATGCTGGTGGACTCATCGAGGAGCAGTGGTCCTGTATTAAGAAGGCTATAACGTCATCAGCTAAGGCGGCAATCGGGCATGAGAGGCGTAGCAGTCCTGACTGGTTTGTCCAGAGTGCGGCCACATTGGAGCCTATTCTGAAGGCCCGGAATGATTTGTATCGGAAATGTCACTCTGGTTCCCGGGCGGATTTGGTTGCCTACAGGGAGGCCCGTGGTGAGGCCCGTGCGGCTGTTCGTTCCGCAAAGGAGAGTTGGCTCAGTAAACAAGCTGACATCGTGGAGGCTGAGCGGTTTAATACCAAGAGTGCCTGGGCTGCCATTCGGGCGATTCAGCGATGCTTTGGGGGCATCACACCCATGAAGGTGCAATCCATCCAGGACACCGATGGCATTGTATGCACGTCGTTGGAGGCCATCTCGTCCAGGTGGTATGAACACTTTTCAAACGTCCTTAATATCAGGAGCCTCTATGACTTGGACGTTTTCGGTACGCTGGAGGTCAGGCCCATCGACGAGGAGCTCGCCAACCCTCCATCTCCTGAGGAAGTTGGTCGAGCTATACGTGCAATGGCTAATGGCAAGGCAGCTGGCGCATCGGGGATCCTGCCCGAACTTGTGAAGTATGGCTCCAGTGAGCTGCATGAATGTTTGCTGGCCTTGCTTTTGACTGTCTGGTCCACAGGTGGTGTTCCTCAGGAGTGGCGGAATGCCCAGCTGGTGCCAATCCCAAAGCGTGGAGATCTATCGCTCTGTGACAATTGGCGTGGGATCTCTCTTTTGGAGGTGGTGGGCAAGATGGCTGGTCGCTTGATACAGAACCGCCTTCAATCCAGGGCCGAGCATCTCCTCCCGGAGTCTCAGTGCGGATTTCGACCCAACCGTGGCTGTGCTGATGCTGTGTTTACTGTCCGGCAACTGGTGGAAAAGGCATACGAGCATCGTACAAAAATATTTTGTATCTTCGTGGGCTTGAGAAAGGCATATGATTCTGTGCCTAGGGCTGCACTGTATCGTGCTCTTTCTGTCCTTGGTATTCCTCCGACTCTCCTCAAGGTCATTGAGTCATTTCATGATGGCATGGTGGCGGAGGTGCGTGTGCCTGGAGGTGTCACGGATGAAATTCGTGTGGAGAACGGCCTGAGGCAGGGGTGTGTAATGGCCCCAATCCTCTTTAACCTCTATCTGGCTCTGGTGGTGGAACGTTGGCGGTCTGTTCTCGCTGATCGTGACCCAGACATTGGCATCCAATTTCACTATCGCTTGGATGGCCAGTTATTCAACCCAGCACGACGAACCCGTACCTATCAGCAGACCGCTGTTGTTGATGTTGAGTATGCGGACGATGCAAACTTTGTAGTTGGTTCGCGGGAGCATGCTGTGTTGGCCTTGACGGCGTTCCAGGATGTTTCTGCTGAATTTGGCCTCACTGTGAGTATACCCAAGACCAAGTTTATGGTGGCTGGTGTTGGTGTTACTTCAGTTGACACTGCTGGCATTCCGCTTCATGGACAGGTGGTGGAAAATGTTTCCTCCTTCGTTTATCTGGGTTCTGTCATCACTCCGGATGCGCGTTCTGCGGGAGACGTTTCGAGGCGTTTGTCACTCGCCTCGCGTGCCTTTGGATCGCTTCAGGATGTGTTTGCTAATCGTGATCTTTCACTCCATGTGAAGCGCCGATTGTATAACGCCTGTGTGATGACAGTGCTACTGTATGCTTCGGAGTGCTGGTGCCCTTTGCAGGGTGACCTCCGGCGCCTCGATAGTTTCCACCACCAATGCATCCGTAGCATCTTGTGTGTTTCGCGAACACAACAGTGGGAGGAACGCATCACCAATGAGCAGCTCCGAGAGATGTGGGGTGATACATCGCTATTGTCCTCCCGGCTTCGGAAGCGGAGGCTTGAATGGCTTGGCCATGTGGCCCGCATGTCGGACGTTCGTGTGCCCAAGCAGCTGTTGTTTGGCTTCCTACCGTCGCCTCGGCCTGCGTGTGGTCCCCGTCGTCGCTGGAGGGATGTGATTTCGGCTGATCTTCGGCACATCGGCATTGAACATCTAGCTTGGTATGGGATTGCTCAGGATCGATCTGCCTGGCGGGTGTCTGCCGTTGGGCCGAGCCTCGGCGGTCCTTCCCATGACCAATCTCAACGGGTGGACTGTCTTATCTGCCACCGTTCGTTTCGTCGGCCAGGTGACAAAGCAAGACACAAGTGTAGCGCAGAACGAAGTCTCCCCATCCAGGGACAGCGTGGTGCTGTGCAGTGTGGTACATGCAGGAGGTGGTTTCACTCTCGTGGTGGCTTGCGTGTACATCATTGTTTGCCCCTGGAACCATCGGAAGCGTCCGCGCCGGCATCACCTATTCCGCTCAACGTCCCAGCTTCTCTCTTGTGTGTGACATGCAATCGGCAGTTCAAGTCAGTGCCTGGTTTCAGACGTCACAAGTGCGACCGTGGCCATCGAGCAACCAAGTCTGATAGAGCGTCGTATGGTGTTCGCTGTTCTCGCTGCAGCCGTCAGTTCCGTCGACAGAGTGACCTGAGTCGTCATCTCCGTTTCTGCTCCTGACAATGACTCTGGCTCCTTTCGGAGTGGTGTGGCCCTTGTGGCAACCAAGCTACAGTAGTAGTAGTATGTGTGTGTGTGTGTGTGTGTGTGTGTGTACATGTGTGCATGGTGTCCAGCTGTGATTTCAGCAGATTTCTCGGTAACAATGTGATCAGTGCAAATGAACCAGTTAGCTGCATTTGTACAGTCCGGACCTCTGTCTGGGTATTGCACATTTTCCGTGATCTTCATCACACATGAATTGCTCGTTTCACATCATCTTCATACACAGTGCATGGTGCATCATGCGCCATGCATCATGCACCATGCACCATGCGCCATGCACCATGCGCCGTGCATCATGCACCGTGCATCATGCACCATGCACCATGCACCATGCACTATACACCAAAATGACATTATGGTAAACACGCACGCACACACACGCACCCATGCACGCACGCATGCACATGGGACACAGTCATTCGAACATGCTCCCATGAACGCATGCACAGCCAGGATTGCTGTACCGTTACTATTTCAGTAGCGTAAACTACCGGCTGCTCACCTTGCAAAGCCCGAGTAGCAATGACAAGCACCGCAGACACTGTCACCATTGCCGGAGCAAAATATGGAATTTTTAGTCTGTGCGACAAAGAAACAAGAAAATACCCAGCGTTCAGGTGAAACCAATTTGCCTGAATTTTCAACTTCAACTGCTGGCTTAGAAAGCCACATGTCATCTGATAAAGTCAGACTGATGCATGTGCCACATGTCATCTGATAAAGTCAGACTGATGCATGTGCCACATGTCATCTGATAAAGTCAGACTGATGCATGTGCCACATGTCGTCTGATAAAGTCAGACTGATGCATGTGCCACATGTCGTCTGATAAAGTCAGACTGATGCATGTGCCACATGTCATCTGATAAAGTCAGACTGATGATGCATGTGCCACATGTCGTCTGATAAAGTCAGACTGATGATGCATGTGCCACATGTCGTCTGATAAAGTCAGACTGATGATGCATGTGCCACATGTCGTCTGATAAAGTCAGACTGATGATGCATGTGCCACATGTCGTCTGATAAAGTCAGACTGATGATGCATGTGCCACATGTCGTCTGATAAAGTCAGACTGATGATGCATGTGCCACATGTCGTCTGATAAAGTCAGACTGATGATGCATGTGCCACATGTCGTCTGATAAAGTCAGACTGATGATGCATGTGCCACATGTCGTCTGATAAAGTCAGACTGATGATGCATGTGCCACATGTCGTCTGATAAAGTCAGACTGATGATGCATGTGCCACATGTCGTCTGATAAAGTCAGACTGATGATGCATGTGCCACATGTCGTCTGATAAAGTCAGACTGATGATGCATGTGCCACATGTCGTCTGATAAAGTCAGACTGATGATGCATGTGCCACATGTCGTCTGATAAAGTCAGACTGATGATGCATGTGCCACATGTCGTCTGATAAAGTCAGACTGATGATGCATGTGCATTTACGTCAGTTACACTGTTTCAAGAAGGCCTTTTAAAAAAAGTTTCCGAGGGACGGTCTCTACAGAGATAGTAAACATCAACAACCATGTCAAATAATGACCAGAGATACGTTTGGCGTTCACAATAGTGCACACGCACGCACGCACCCACACTCTCACTCTCTCACACTTACAGTACACGCTGCAATACGAAACCTGACAATCTAATGATCTTTAGCTTCAAACTAGATCCAAATCTTACCCTGTTTGTTTCGCATGCACACTGACAAATTCCATCAACGTCCACAGTCACCTCACCATACCCAAGTATGCGAATGACTAGTCTGCATGTACACAGTAACACAAAACACACACATATACATATCTACAGCCATCAAGCTAAAGCACCAGATCTGCAGGAAACCCCTTAGAATGGCGGTGAACGAGAGGACGTGCCAAGCTCAGGGCCCTCGCTGTGCTCTTTCTTTACCTAGGTCATCATGCGTGTTATCCAAACTGCTAGAAGTGTTCTTCATTGTGTGAGGAGGCTTGTTCAAGATACGGACTAGCCAACAAAAAAATCATCTTTCATTGAGAGTCTAGCCGTTTGGATAGACGAGAAGGCAGAAATGTCTGTATATCTGGTGAAGTTAAATAAAAACAAACAACCAAACAAACAATATTTCACCGTTGCTAAGTGTTTGCTGGGCTTTCTGGAAACCCAATTGGTACTACAGCAAGTCTGCTATTCCACATACCAGTACATGTACTATATATAATGCAGGTTGGCGTAAGATTTTGACTTCTCATATCTTCGGTATCCTTCAAGATTGTCCTTCGAAATTTTCTGGTTAACCCGGGTTGATGCAGGTCTTTCAGAAAACACACAGATTGTCTGGTTTACAGGCAAATAACAGGGTGAATTCCCTCTATATGACCAGTAGACAGACTAGTACTGATCCAATGTCAATGTGACTGTCATCTATGGAAGCAGCGGTAAGCTGAACTTCAGCGGAGCTGTGAACCAGCAAACAAAATCACAGTTATCACTTCCGCTGCATAGCTCGCTAGGCATCCCATTGCTTTGTACCTTGCTAATCCCTTCCCCTTTGGTGTACGTGTATTTCATTTTCTTTTTTTCTCTTCTTCCGTGGTTGGTCTCACCCTCTCCTCAATTCAATTGGCTGTCTTGACGTGCTACGAGGTGCAGAAATAAATAAATCAATAAAATCAATAAAATAAACTCAAGAGTCCCTTGTGTATGGCGGGGCAATGCCTTCATGACCCAACAAAACATCAGTCTGATATTCCCTTACGGTTTGGTGCTACGCAGGAGGTGACAGTGAGTGGGTGTCACGGTGACCGAGTATCTGGCCTTCAAACACACCAGTCAAAAGGACAAACACAAGAATTGAAAATGACTTTCTGCATCAAAAGACAAAGTCAGCATCTGTAAGTATTTTGGCAATTGTACAAAAAGAAACACAACACCCCAATCAACAACCACAAGTGTGCATTCTCTAAAGCAATACCGACCGTCACTGCAAATATGTTCACTATGTTAGCACTGGATCTACTAACAGGATTATATTTTCCTGTCCGGCCTTCAATGAGCTGTAATGATGGCAGACTGGGAAACAATGATAAAGTTCAAAGTCGGAAATTAGTCCCCAAGTATACCTTGAATAAGTACCCAAAGTGAAAATACAGTAAAACCTGTCAAGGCCACCACTCGGATAAGGAGACCACCTGTACAAGAGGACCACTACAGCTAGGACCAACGAATGCTACTTCCAGTCAAATGGCACTGGATAAGGAGACCACCTGATTACAGAGACCACACTTTGAAGGTCCCTTGAGCCGTGGTCGTCTTAGACAGGTTTCACTGTATAATCACCACCCTGTCACCACCACCTTCACACCACCACCTTCACACCACCTCCTTCACACCACCACCCTGTCACCACCACATTCACACCACCACCTTCACACCACCACCTTCACACCACCACCTTCACACCACCACCTTCACACCACCACCTTCACACCACCACCTTCACACCACCACCTTCACACCACCACCTTCACACCACCACCTTCACACCATCACCTTCACACCACCACCCTGTCACCACCACATTCACACCACCACCTTCACACCACCACCTTCACACCACCACCTTCACACCACCACCTTCACACCACCACCTTCACACCACCACCTTCACACCACCACCTTCACACCACCACCTTCACACCACCACCTTCACACCACCACCTTCACACCACCACCTTCACACCACCACCTTCACACCACCACCTTCACACCACCACCTTCACACCACCACCTTCACACCACCACCCTGTCACCACCACATTCACACCACCACATTCACACCACCACCTTCACACCACCACCTTCACACCACCACCTTCACACCACCACCTTCACACCACCACCTTCACACCACCACCTTCACACCACCACCTTCACACCACCACCTTCACACCACCACCTTCACACCACCACCTTCACACCACCACCTTCACACCACCACCTTCACACCACCACCTTCACACCACCACCTTCACACCACCACCTTCACACCACCACCTTCACACCACCACCCTGTCACCACCACATTCACACCACCACATTCACACCACCACCTTCACACCACCACCTTCACACCACCACCTTCACACCACCACCTTCACACCACCACCTTCACACCACCACCTTCACACCACCACCTTCACACCACCACCCTGTCACCACCACATTCACACCACCACATTCACACCACCACCTTCACACCACCACATTCACACCACCACCTTCACACCACCACCTTCAGACCACCACCTTCACACCACCACCTTCACACCACCACCTTCACACCACCACCTTCACACCACCACCTTCACACCACCACCCTGTCACCACCACATTCACACCACCACCTTCACACCACCACCTTCACACCACCACCTTCACACCACCACCTTCACACCACCACCTTCACACCACCACCCTGTCACCACCACATTCACACCACCACCTTCACACCACCACCTTCACACCACCACCTTCACACCACCACCTTCACACCACCACCTTCACACCACCACCTTCACACCACCACCTTCACACCACCACCTTCACACCACCACCTTCACACCACCACCTTCACACCACCACCTTCACACCACCACCTTCACACCACCACCTTCACACCACCACCTTCACACCACCACCTTCACACCACCACCTTCACACCACCACCTTCACACCACCACCTTCACACCACCACCTTCACACCACCACCTTCACACCACCACCTTCACACCACCACCCTGTCACCACCACATTCACACCACCACATTCACACCACCACCTTCACACCACCACCTTCACACCACCACCTTCACACCACCACCTTCACACCACCACCTTCACACCACCACCTTCACACCACCACCTTCACACCACCACCCTGTCACCACCACATTCACACCACCACCTTCACACCACCACCTTCACACCACCACCTTCACACCACCACCTTCACACCACCACCTTCACACCACCACCTTCACACCACCACCTTCACACCACCACCTTCACACCACCACCCTGTCACCACCACATTCACACCACCACCTTCACACCACCACATTCACACCACCACCTTCAGACCACCACCCTGTCACCACCACCACCCTGTCACCACCACCACCACCTTCACACCACCACCTTCACCTTCACACCACCACCTTCACACCACCACCTTCACCTTCACACCACCACCCTGTCACCACCACCTCTACCAGCCGCCACCTGCGCCTCTGCCTCCACGTCCCCCGCCGCCACCTCCATCACTACCACCAGGAGAGTGAGAGCGAGCTACTAAAGCAGTACCTAAAAGCCGTGTAGTCTAAGAGTGAAATAACACAACAGGCAGTACAATAAAACAACAGCAGCACACTGCATGTACTTACCGTCTTTCCAAAGTCCATATTGGTGCAGTAGCCGAAGCCTGTGACTGGGTCGATAGTTGGTATCCCCTCGCTGCAAGAATAGCAATTAGGAACAAGCACAAGAACAGATATGTGGACTATGTTCATGCAATGCTGACCCATACTGTATTTTCCCGCTACTAGAATACACAAAAATAACTGAGAACACTATAATTGGACAACAATCGGGATTTTACCAACTATGACCAAGGTCAAAACCGCCATGTCCTACCAGATTCAATAAGCACTTACGATTTGCATGGAACTAGAGCAGTTGTTTGCATATTATATCTTCTGATCACCTATACTGCTGACAGGTACTTGAATGCACGCAGTGTGTCTACCATGAACTTACTCTGGGCAAGTAGCTGAAACCTGTACTCCAATACCAGGTTGTTGAAAGGCTACTACCTGAGCAGTACTGACCAGCCTCTGGAAACAGTTACCAGTGAATACGCACACATACACACACACACACACACACACACACACACACACACACACACACACACACACACATGTACACACACAGAGACACAGACACACAGACACACAGAAACACAGAAACACACAGAAACACACACACACACACACACA